CGCGCAGGAGGGCAGGAGCGCGCGCTGCGCCGGGGCCGGACCCTCGTGCCCTCGCTGCGCCCGGGAGGGGCAGTTGGGGCTCGGTGGGGACGACACAACCTCTCCACTGACTCAGAGCGCGATGGGGGGTACATTGGAGGTTTCCTCTGCCTACCCCAACCCACCAAACTTTTCTCCTCCCCTTCAGAGGGTTCGCAGGAGTCCTGAGCACACGGCCAGATCCCTGTGCGCTCGGCTGCATGCAGGGTCAGGCCCCACACATTGTCTGAGAACACGCAGGAAGGCACCCGCAGATGGAGTGCGCCCCACTCAGGAAGGTGGAGGACCTCCTCCTCGGTACTCTCGGAGGCCGCCCAAGTAGGGGGGTCTCCTGCCTCCCCCCTTCTGCAGTGGGACAATGGAGCTCCCTATATCCCTTTCTGCCCCAGGTGCTTCACCCTGAACCACATCCCTGGCCCCTTTAGTCGCACTTCGGAGGGGCCCTGGGCCCTGGGTTTTGGGCTCTGATGCCTGGGGAGCTCTCTGGATAGTCCTGTCTCAATGAGCCTCCAGAGCGGTGCCAGGGAGCTTGGCCTAGCTTTGGTGCCAGCCCAGGTACACTCTGTAATTGGCTCCTCCAGACCACCTCTGGAACGGGCCGGGGAAGGGAGAGTCACCTAGAACTGAGGGCAGTGTCCCCTCCTTACCAACCCTGCGGGCTACTCTGTCTCATCCTGGAAGCCAGAAGGTCTCGTGCATGACACCCAAAAGATCACAAGTTCAAGGCCAACCTGGGCAGCTTGGTGACTTGGCAAGAGTTTCCCAAAATGCAGAGGGAGTGGGAGTGTAGCTCAGTGAGAAGGCTCTGGGTTCAGTCCTTAGCACCAAAGGGGGGGGAACCCCAAAAACAAGAACACTTTTCTGGATGCCTGATCTTATTCCAGTGTTGCCTAGGCAAAAGACTCCCAAATCCCACGTTCTTTCCAAAGCCTTTTCAAAGGAATCCAAGGCCAGCTATCCTCCCTTCTCTACTGGGCTGCTTCTGTGTCCCTGGCACTCAGGACTGCACTGTCTACTTCTCCTATGGCCTTTCTGCCACCCAGGCTGCCCTGTCTCCTAATGGGCAGGGACAAGTAAGCTACGGAGCTGTGTGGCCTGTGCAAACGCAGACCATGTATGGAAACCTTGGCCTGGAATCTCCTGGGAGAATGGTACTTCTGTCAACTCTCCAGGACTGCCTTGTCCAGGGAGTGAAGGTTGGATGGTGGTTCAGCCAACTCTGTCGTCTTGGACATGAGGTCCTGGGTAGGACTCTGGTGCCTCCCATCGTCCTCTCACTCCCAGCCCTGGATCTTTCCTCCTCTTAGGGGAAGGGAGAAGTGGCAGGAGGCAAGGGATAGGAGGAGCTCCCTTGGCTTCCCCTGGTAGACCTTGGATCATCTGACATTGTTTGTCCTCCAGCCCTATGACCAAATGAAACTCTCCTCTGTTGGATATCTTGTCCGCAGGACTCAACCTGGCCCAGAGCGTCTTTGAACAACATCTATGCTTCACCAGGAGCTCAGCCTTTCCTGGGTCTTTCCCTTGGATTAGAGAATGTGATTACTCTACTGCCAGATTTGGAGGTTCCGGGAGTGAGCTTCAAGAAAAGACAACACTGATGAGTCGGACTTATAAATAGCCAGAGCCTCATCCCTTAAAGGAAACCCAGTTGAGTGGGCTGCTGGCCACTGTCCTTCGCTTAGATTTGCTCTCACAAGCACCCTGTGCTGGTCTCTCTGGGTGGGTGGAGTTGTGCATTTCCAGTCCTTTCCATGCTACCAACACACTATTATTCATCTCTCCAACTCTTGCTTCCTCACAGCTTGTACTGATAAATGTCTGCCCACGCAAGCAGCAAAAACATACTAATAATAATAATTTGTAGCTTAAATGTATAGGGAAAAGAGCTGCAAGTCTGAGGAGAGAAGAGTCAGCGCTTACTTTCTTCTTTCAGTAAGTTGAGTATTTTTAATATTCACATTTGCATCATATGCATGTTCTTCCTGTATGGTAGATGAGGATGTCAGGAGATTTTTAGGAGCCTAAAAAATATGGTGTCAAAATTAGAGTCTGGGCGTGAAAACTTTGCACTTGACTCTTACAAGGTTTTTTGAACATTAGTTTCTTTGGCAAACAATTTATTTTGTGCTTACCAGACTTTCAGGAGGAAAAGAAATGGATCCTAGAACCCTTGAAGGAGTTTCCAAGTCTTTTGAAAAACGGGCTGAAGAGATAGCTTAGTGGTCTAAGTACCTACCTGGCAAGTGCAAGAACCTGAGCTCAATCCCTGACACCACATGCTGTGTCAGCTCTGGAAGCCCAGGTGCGGTGGCATATGCCTGCAATTCCAGCGCTGTGAAGGCTGAGACAGGAGGATCACTGTGAGTCTGAACCGCATAGTGAGACTCTTTATCCAGTAAATAAACATAAACAAAGAAAAGTGGGACTACAGAAATCAAAACAAGAACAAAACCCAGCATTCCTTCCCCTCCTCTCTTCTCCCCTACAATTTAAATGGTGTCATCAGAGACAGAGGTCCTAGAAAGAATACAAATAAAAATCAAGAATTTGTTGGGCTTCTCTACGGTTTTGTTGGAATTTTATTTTGGTTTTGGTGCTTATTTTTTGCAGGGGTCCTTGTCAGTGCTTCATTTGTAATACAAAACACGTGTGAACTAGTATAATGGTCCTTGTTATTGTATTAGGTTTTAGAATCAAGGAGACAAGGTACACCTTTTAAAATTTCACAGCAGTTACCATTTTGATAGCCCATAAAAAGAAAAACAGTAACTCCTCCACTGCATGGAGTGAAATGAAAAACGCTCTTTCGAATCCAGCCAAAAGGATGAAATATATACGCAAGTCACTGAAGAGACCCAAAGGAGCCCTCAAGTCTATTTCTGCCCTTTGGTAGCAGGGCTTCCGTGAGAGGCTAAACATGGAGGGCAGAGGGGCTTCTCCCATCACTTCACTGTGTCCATTTATCTGTGACAAACTGTGTGAGAGAAACAAGGAGTGCAAACACGGACTGGGCCAGAGGGAGCCAGAAAGTGAGCATGAGGAGAATTTTCTTTGTCTGCGACGCTAGAGGGCAGCCCTCCACCCTCCAAGGGACTCGCAGGGCCATGTCTCTGGTGTGTCGCTTGATGTAGAGTTCAGCAGGCACCACCTTGGAATTCTTAACAGATTTTGAACAAGAGTCAAAAGGATTCTTGTTCTGCCGCTGGCCTGCAAATTAAAAGGCAAGTATGCTGCACCCAACAGCACTGACAGAGCCGCTCGCCTGCAGACTCGGCCTTGGTGTACCGCCCTGTGCGCCACCTGTAGCCCCCCAAACTGGCCCTCCTGCATGGGCTTCTCGTGCACTAGACACACCTCACTGATCATACATCTGAGTAATCACTCTGCAGACGGGCTGCTTATGCATCAATGGGTTTTGCATTAAAAATAACCCGTCTTTTAGTTCCCATTTCAAGCCTAGTTGATTAGCTCCGTCAATAAAGCTGCTGCTGTGTTCCTCCCAATGTCCACAGTGCCCTGATTGATTAAATAAAGGCAGCCCACAAACCACAACAAGGACAGAAATGGGCATGTGCCGACCAACCCGGGCATGTTGGAGCGCTGCGCACTGAGAATCTCTCTGTGTATTCGTTTTTCTCTCTGACAAATGTATTACTAAAATTTATATAATAAAGTATGAACACTGTGTCAACAGATTCATTATCACCATGAAATATGTTTTGTGTACTCAGATAACATTTACATTTTTATTGAACCAGAGGCTAAGAATACAGAACCCACCCAACCGAAGCTAGCTTATGGCTCCTGAACATCAGATTAACTCTTGCAGCTCACTCACAAGACCTTTTGCTGCTGGGTTTTCAGAGTATCAGACAGAAGCTGCTGCACATAACAATTAGCATTCATTCGCTTTCCCACCCAGAAGTAAATAACATTCACATGCCTTTGAAAGCCCCTGTTTGCTTGACTTATTTGCCAAAACATTTCTCCAATAACAAAATGAATTTTTTTTTCACAGCATCATCTTTAAAATCTGACTGTAGGTGAGCAGCTGGGATTGTCACTCCCTCCTGCTGTGTGGGGAGATGGGGCTGGCGTTTCAGAACCAGATTCTCTCAAAGTGCCCTTCGGCAGGGAAGATCGTTGCTTCTGCTGCTGAGATGTGCAGTGAGATTTGGGGATTCCTTCCATGAGCACTGGGAGTCTTAAGGACAGGTTAAGGCCTAATCTCTTTCTAGTTTGTCTGGAGCATTTGGAGAGAGATCCGTGTCTCTGCTCTTGTTCAGAGGATGGGCTCTGGGACTCACGAGGCAGAGAGAAGTGTCAATGATTTGCTGCAGAGGAAGGCTTTGAAGAGAAACTCGGGTACATGCTTAACGACACAGCTCAGAAAACTTGGATTTTACTTTCTACCTCTGTACATGTCCACTAAATTAGTTCATTAAAGAGTAACCTGGTTATACACTAGCATTTAAAGATATGCACTGGAGGCATAAGAAATGGCATTATGTGGAAAGTGGTGTAGTGACACCATTGCCGTAGGTATTCCGTCCTATTCTACCCAAGACCTAGCTTACGATCTTAAACCACTCTACTGTTTGATTTGTACTTTTACTCTTGAATTTGAAAATAAATGGAGCTCGCTGCTGGCACTATTTCACTGTGTTGTGCTTACTATCAGTATTCTGGTAATAACTTCTTTAAAGTACTGAGAGTTTTTCCATCTCTGATATCAACTGCGCATTTTGGAGAGGTCGTGGAAGAGCTCTGTGCTTCCATTAATTTATCTTTTAACAAGATGGGCTGTTTAGCATAAAGGTCTTCCAAAAGTGTCTATTTTACTCCACCTGATAAAGGGGTGGATTTTAATGAACTATTTTAGAGCAAGATGAAAAAAAAATCACTTATTCCTAATTTTTAAAGATAATGTGAGTGATATAAATGGAGCTATACTAATAGGCTTATTAATTTTTTCTAAATATCGATTAAGAGGTATTGTTTCTTTTTGAATAAGATAATAATATATATTGGCAGTGTTTCATATGAACTTAATAGACCCACATGAACCTTGTTCTTGTATAAATGTCATCAGTCTTCTGTCACTAGATGTTCCCTTTAATAAATACAGAATATTTTGTTTCTTTTTGTTTTTGCTGTTATGTCCCTACTAATTGAAGCTTACAAAGTGCCCAGTGGTAGTAAAGATGAAATGGATGGATGGATGGATGGATGGATGGATGGATGGATGGATGGAGAGAGAGAAAAGATGACCTAATTCTTTTTTTTACATTTCTTTTTTTCATAATTTTATTGATAAACAGATAGCAATGAGACAGTTTCAAATCAAATCGGTAGGACAGTTTCAACAACCAACACACTGAATATATTCTTCTTAGTGCCTAATTTTTTTAAAACCACAGTTGACAAATAATAACAGTAGATGCTCTAATCATAATGTCAATCTATATAAATGTTTTCAGGTCCCGAAGATGATATATTTGTGTCTGTGTTACTGATGCTATATTAAACCATGACTTCCACTATGTCTTTGCAAACCCCAGCATGTCTTCAAATCCTAAAGCGGCAAGGGTTTCATGAATGATTACACACTTACTGCTGGTGATTCCACTTAATCAGCAGGACAAAGAGCAACAAAGCAGACAAGGTGAGGTCATGGAGAAATAATGGGAAAGTAAGTGTGCCCACAAAAGGAGGTTATCTGCACAAAGTATCATTTGAGGCTGATTTTACTACGAGAAAATTGCACTGGGTCGGGGAGCTCCACTAAGAAAATGGGCAGTCAATGTGAAATCTGCTCCTTGTGCTGCTGACATCTGACATCCTGACGCCTGCAGACAGCCTCAATGAAGACTGCAGGACATGTGAAGGGACCAGTTAGAGTCTCGCCCTTTGCAGGCTTAACCAAGTTGGCCTTGTCAGAAAGTGAGGAAGGCTAAGAAGAAGATACTTGTGACCTCCCCACTGCCAACTGGTTGTCAAGGGTGAATACCAGGATTCGGGGAATAAGATGCAGAACATAGTTCAGAAACAGCCTGCTGGAGTCGTTGGCATTTGTGTGCTTCTCTGGCAGATTTGACAAGAGCAATATATTTCTTAATTGAATTTCAAATGGGAAAGCTCTTGTACCCAGGGACTTCCTTATAGATTTCCTGTTATCCATGCAGAAAATTTTTCTTTTACACAGAAGTTTTCCCAAATAAAGCTCAGTGAATTTTGAGGTGGTTTTATTTATGTATTTATTTATTTATTTTAAAATGTATTTGGTAGAGAGTCTCACTATGCAGGTCGGACTCATAGTGATCCTCCCGGTTTCAGCCTCCCCAGAGCTAGGATTACAGGTGTGCTCCACCACACCTGGATTTGGTGACCAGCTCTGCAGGTCCAGGGGTGGGGCTGGAGCAGCATGTGGCACTGGGGATGGAACGTCGACCCTTGAGCTTACCTAAGCTTTGCTAAGCAGGCGTCTAGTCTGCTGAGCTATCTTGCTGGCCCTTTGGGTGATTTTATTAGCACATTAAATGCTGCTGCAGACAGTACCTATGGGTGTCTTCATACTGAGCAAATAGGCACATCCTGTTGAAATGAACCCCAGCCACCACTGTGGTCTACGCCTGGTGCTGCTGACCCCTGCCAATCTTCTAGCTCTCTCCAAGGCCATCTATAGCAACCCGAGAGAAGCTTTTGCTTGCCCTCTTTTTGCTGCGTGGTGGCCCACATCCAAACAAGCCTGGCTCCTTTTCTCAGGCCTCCCCCTCTTGCTTCTCCCGTTCTGCAGCTGCTCTGCTTAGCTCTCTAGTGCCTTCCGCCTCCTGGTTTAAGCTGTGGGCAGCAACCTGCAGGAAAGGTCCTAGCATCCTGCTGCCCTCGCCTTACCCCAGTTCCAGACCTGCATACCTGCTTCTTCCTGTGTGACCACTAATCTACAACACACACACACACACACACACACACACACACGCACGCACGCACGCACACACGCACGCACACATACTAACCCACACGCTCCATGTACTGGAAATCACTATCTGCAGCTGGGACGCCTGCTGACCTCCCCGCTCCATCCGCCCTCAGCACCATCTGCTGACTCTCACGCCATCTCAGTCCTGATCTTTCCTAGCATAGCAAGTCACTGTCACCAAACAACATGCTGGGGAGTATTGGAAAGCTCAAGCACAAGGCATTTGGAAAGGCCACCTCTTCAGCGCCACATTATAATGGATGACTTGTTCCCGGGCTTGTTTGGTCATTCAGTCTAATAAAAGCATGATAATTTATATCAACATGGACAAAGATGGATAAACATGGAGTTTTTTAAAATAGAATGTTTGAATACATGGACATCTATAGCTAATTTTTTTGTATATAACAGTTAAATAAAAATGTCATTGTAGCAATAAATGACAATGCAAATGAGGAATCAATTGAGTTTTTTTTTTTTTCTGACAAAGATGGAGCCTCCTCTCTCCTGCACAGGAGCCTGAAGGCACTCTCCTCAGCTCATGTTTCCGGCAGTCCAAGGTGGGGCCAGGGTCAGTGGTGTGGGGCGTGGCTGGGCGGGCTCCTGTGGCCTATTGCCTTAGATTAAACAACCTCGAAATGACCAGAGGTTAATGTGCCAACTCCAACTAGACAGGCTGTATTTACCTTGTTACTGGGAAACACTGAAGCCATGTTCATGCTGAGCAGGCTGAAAGAAGAAAAAGCGACCTTAAACCTAGAGACTCATGACTGTGCTACAAGAAATACCTCATACGGGAAAAGTCTGTGCTCTCTGTGGTGACAGGACTGCTTTTCCCTTCTGAGTGGATTTTCCCAGAAGCTGGCAAATGGGGTGAGAGGAGAGGTTATCTTTTCTTTTTTTTTTTTAAGGAAATAATAATAAATTATAAAGGAATTAGTCTGAGACTCTCTGGCTTGGAGGTTGTACACGGTTGCTTCAAGTTGCGTTTGTGTCAGACCTCCCTGGAGTGCAACAGACACAGGTTTATAGGCCAGCATTTGCTATGGGGACAAATCTACAGATAATGCTGAAGGATTACAAGGGGCGATTGAAACGTACCATGACTGTTTGCGCTTAAAATGTATCATGACAAAGACGCATTACGCTCCGTCCTCAAAATCCTCCCCGTCACATCAAGCACATTTACCCCAAGGTCCTTGTCGCTTTCTGAAGCAGATCTGGAAGTCCTTTCCCGAGCTGTTTTTCAGATATGTAATCAAAATATGGCAAACGCTGATGCTATGCACCACGCAACAGGAGGCCGACTTGGGAAAGAGTGACGGTGAGTCCTCGTCACCCTTATCCTCCGGGTCTGTCACAGCGCAACTCAGGCAGGTTCTTTCCCCAAGTCACAATGTCCACACAAAGTAAACGCTTTGATGAAGTTATGATGTGCACCTGGCCACCGGCGCGCACCTAAGGGCCTCATCAAAGAGGACTTGAGGATGTGCTTCGGAAAGCAGCAAGAGCAGTGGAGTAAGTGTATGCAAACGGGGAGTGGAGGGTCTTAGGGGGACTAGGGGCAATCTCTTAACCGTAAGCAGATCTGTAGGGTGGAACTTATACATTGATCTCTGTGCGTAACCTGAATCCAAGATTCCCCTCAGAGCTCAGAGTTCAAGGATCAACTCTGGGCTGGGGAGAGAGCTCAGTGGCATAAGTACCTGCCTGGCAAGCATGAGCACAAGGCCCTGAGTTTGATTCTCTGGTTCCAAAAAAGAAAAAGAATCACTCTGGAAAGCAAAAATAAAATAACCACGGGTCTCTGAGAGATACGGAGCTGCCACGGGCTGTTTTTTCTCATCAAATGCAGCATCCAACCCAACTCTTCAGGATCATTTGTACCATAACGGATGCCGAGTGAGTACCAAGACCAGAGGACACTGCATCTGCCCAACCTGTAACCTCGTGATCCTTGAATGAACGATGTTAGGGATGCTTACCAGGTTTCAAATGTTGAAAGAATGGGGACTCCCTCTGACTGTTTCTCTTCACAAATAAGCCCCTTTTATAAGAATTTTAGGGAAGGGACTCTATTGTTTAAGCTATTCAGGTCACTAGGTGATCAAGTCGCGTCTCTTATTCTTTTTGTATTTTCTTTTTTATTTTTTAAAGTAGACAAAATGGCAAAAAAAAAAAAAAAAAAACTATTAGAAACAGTACAAAATTTCACCGAACAAAGTAATAAGAATTCAATAATAGTTACTGTATTGCATGATATTATCTTCAAATTGGTTGTTTAACTTACCAGATGTAACCTTGCAAAATATAATCTTATCTTCTTATAGTCTCTCTCTCTCTCTCTGTCTGTCTCTTGATCTCTGTGTCAGTCTGTCTCCCTGTCTGTCTCTGTCTCTATCTCTCTGTCTCTCTCTGTCTCTCTCTGTCTCTCTCTGTCTCTCTCTGTCTCTCTCTCTCTCTCTCTCTCTGTCTCTCTCTCCCTTTCTCTTTCTCTCTCTCCCCCCCTGCCTCCTTCTCTTCCTTGATATGACTGTGCATGTATAGTTCTCTAACACCACAAATTTCCTTGTTTGTCTTAGCCATCTGGGAGGCTTTTTATTTTTTGATTCACTATGTAATAGCCCTCCTAATTTCTAAGAAGGATTAGCAGATTAACTGTAATTCCCTCATGGTTATATTTTAAATGGTGCTGCAGTAGTAGATAATCCCAACTCTTCTGGAAATGGGTGGGGCTGGTGGTGGTGGTGGTATTAATTGCAATTAAAAGTCACTGGGAGACAGAAACTCAGGATAATTAAAATATTGCTAATTTTAAAATGATTAATGAGCCCAGACAAATTCTACACTCGATTATTTTAGAATTCACAGTTAATTTGGGGAGCTGAATGTGAGAAATGACTCAGAGCAGCTACATCACCATGAGAATGGCAGCCAGCAGACATCCAGGTAGCCAGAGCCCCCTGGGCGGGCTGCTGTGTGGAGTCCTGGGCAGGACATCGCCCAGACACGAGGCAGCCTCTTGAGGATGAGGGTCCGACAGATGGATGGAGAACCCAGCTTTCTAACATTCCAAAAACTACTCTGAGCTCTCACACAGCCCCAGCCTGCAGCATGGGGAAGAGAAAAAGTGGACAGAGTTGTGGTGTCACTGGTGTGATTCTGTCACCTCACAGGCCCTGTGCGCAGCCAACTCTGAGCTGACAGGCAGTAGACACTACCTAGTTTTCCCAAACTTCACTTGGTGGCATCCAGGAATGAGATGAATTCAAGGTACATTCTGCAAGAGGAAGGGGGACTTTGGACCCAGGGGCTGCAAGGTCCTCACTGTCAGAATTGCTCTCCTGCTGTGACATCTGTGTGTGCCTGCCCAGTTGTTCCAATGACATTTGTTGGAGGAGGTGGGAATGTGGGGTCCTCCCAGTCCACTCTTGTTGACCATTTTCTGTGACTACTGGCTTGAGTGACTGCTCTGGACTCTGGTAGACCTGCATAAAATGACGCCTCTCACTTCAGATACCAATAGGGTGGCATTCAGAGTCCAGCAGGGAAGCTCAAGCCTTATTTATGCCACTTAAGTTGGTGGGGTGACAGTAACTCATTAGCTAAATCTCCTCTGGCCTGCACTGTGGCTGTCAGTGGCTGACAGCCTGTGTGAATGTGGACAATGCACACCCAGGGCTGTGTGCAGTATCTTGGTTGTGCTCCTTGCCAGAGGTGTTTTTTTGTTTGTATGTTTGTATTTGGTATAAAGTCTCACTATTCAGGTGCATTTGTGGTGATCCTCCTGTTTTTAGCTGGGATTACAGGGTGCGCCACCATGCCTGGACTTATTTGCTGGCTCAGGGGAGGGGCTGGTGCAGCCTGCAGGATCAGGGATCGAAACCTGGACTCTGCACTTGCCAAAGCAGGCATTTAGTCCACTGAACTGTCTCGCTTGTCCTCATTGCCAGAATTTTGATGACTACACCGCCTCTACTTCTCCCACTCTCGAAGGGCTATGAGAAGATGCATCACTCACTCAGTTCTCACATGTTCTCTCCTCTTTCCTGCTTCCTCCAATCCAATTTTGAGCTTCCTATCTCGGATTCTTCACTTGCTCCATTTCCTGTCCTTGGAGTTAAATAAAAGCCTTCAGCCTGGCCACCCCGAAGGCCTACCTTCCATTTGCTAAAATTAGTTTGTACGCACTGCTTTCAGCTGCAAAGAAGTGGCTTCTTAATTAATCAAAACTCAGTAATCTAGATAGTTAGTTAATCACCTTACCCTACAAATTGTCTGGAGGCAGATACTGGCTCCTGAGCTTCCAAATCCCCTGGGCTATTTGTCCTTTGCCATGCTGACCTTGGCAAGCTAAGTAGTCTTGCTGAATTATGTCACCTCTTGGGCACAAGTAGGCCCTGCAATTTTAGGTCTCATCTACTCATGGCAGCATTGTGAATAGGAAGGAAAAGGACACAGAAGGTCTTTTGTCCTGGGACTTCACCTGTACTAAGTCGGAAGATCCATCACTTTCCTTCTTTCTTTCTTTTTTTTTTTTTTTAAACTGAGCCATTTTAATGTGTTTAAAGTTTAATAAATAGTTGTCTTGATGAATGTAGTCATGAGTGTTGTTCAGCAATATTCAAGTTATGGTTTTCCTGATTGGTCTGTAGTTTTCAATAAGTGTAACAAGCTATTATATGAAACATCTGTCAAATTAGTAAGACTAAATTGATGCATCCACCATTATCAGATTGTTGATTACCTGGGCATATTTACCCCAAATAACCTTGCCTCCTTGTGCCACAAGGCCCAGCTCGCTCACGTTCACCTCAATCACTGTCCCTGTGGTAATCACACACAAAGTTGTATACAGTGGCGATGAAGGATTCTTTTTCACACTAAGTATTGGCAGGCAAAATGTGGCTTTCAGCTCAGGATGTGTTACGTGGGTCTTCTTAAAACGTAAGCCCATTGGCCTAATGAAGCTTTCATATTTAGGTGGTTTTCTTGTAGAGCCATCTCCAACAAAGCAGACTGTAGTAACCATCCTCTTACGTGCCTTCTTTTTTCTCTTTTCAGTTTGAATAATTTTTATTTTATTTTTTAACTCATTATTACCTTTTTGAAAATCAATAATTATACAGCAAATTAAAAATTGTAGACAAATATTGAAATGTGAAAGATATAAAATGAAGACAGTGGATTTCTGAAATGAATACATAACATGAGATGAACAATAGATTGTACATGGTAAAAAATTATTTACAAACTGAAATGAATATAACAATAAAAATTGTCTAAAATAAACATGAAGAAGAAAGAGTTTACAGATCAATCTATAGTAGTTCATTCTGTGACAAAATCAAGAAACTTATATTCATATAATTAGAATTCTCAAAGTAGAATGGGGTAGACAATAAATATTTAAAGATTTAAAATTTCTGAGTTTAGTTAAAATTATAGCACCACATTTCCAATAAAAATGAACCTTTTGCACAAAATTGTGAATAAAATTATAACAAGTTACACAAAAATAAAATTGTCCAAAACTTATTGTAAGGAAAAAATCATTAAAGCATATACATAGAAAAAATATTAACTATGGAAGAGCAAAATTAAATAGCATCTTATTCCACATCAGAAAAAAAAGAGCAAGTGGGTAAGAAACTAGACTTATTTATTCAAAGGACTGAAAAAAATTCTGTCCTCATTGAATTTTATAGTTAGCAAGCATACCTTTAAAA